AATGGGATAGGTGGGAAAAACGTTGGATGCGGCGCTCACGTTTCGCGTACGTTTGTGTACGTTGCATGCAGGCGGGAGGAGTATTAGAAATCCATGGAAGATGACTGATAAACATAACTAATTTGGTGCAAACATTTACTCGCTATGTGGCAGATAGAGCTCAAAAATTTACTCGCCAAATGGAGCAATTTGCTCGCGAGTGGCGAGCGTTAATTTCGGACCCTGGATGTAAACAAAGACTACGTCCCTCTTTAGCTTTTTTGGAAGAAGAAAAACGGACAACCCCCGAGCCAGCTGTTGGCATCAGCTGTTGGAAGATTATCAGCAATCTTCAGTGTTTGATGGACTCCAGACTGCCTAGAAAACACATTTCATCCTTCTTAGTTTGATAGACAGTAGTTGCTCGTGTCTTTAACACACACCTGTATGCTCTGGGCATAGCACTTCCATTTTGGCTTTATTTTGTTTAAATCAGTAACAACATGGTGCCATCTGTCGTGTGTTGTTGGATACTTTGGGCTTGATTTGAATGGTTTAAAACCTGATAAAGACCTGATCGCTTTATATCCTGGACTATGAAATTAAAACAGGGTGTTCTTGTTTTAAAATCTCTAAGTTAGCATTCTTACACTGGAGGGGCTTCCTCGTCTCCCCTCTGCCCCTGCCGCTCCAGCTCCTGGTAGACTCTGAGGATGCTGGAGCGAGACTGGTGATTCTCACCAATCACCAAAAGCCAGTTTTTATCAGTTAAGGAGGATCGCCACGGTTAAGCATCTGCTCTCAAGTCATGACTTTGAGACGGTGATTCACGCGTTTATTACATCACGCCTTGACTATTGCAACGCACTGTACCTTGGTCTTCCTCAGTCTCACCTGTCCCGTCTTCAAATGGTGCAAAATGCAGCAGCACGCCTATTGACGGGTTCAAGAAAGAGGGAGCACATCATCCCAACTTTAGCTTTGCTGCACTGTGGTTGCCTGTGGGTTTTAGGTCCAGTACAAGGTTCTTTTATTGGCTTTTAAAGCCGTACATGGCCTTGCTCCGCAGCATCTGTGTGAACTTTTAGTTACTCACTCCCCGTCTCGGTCACTGAGGTCAGCCGACCAGTTTCTCCTGGAGGTGCCGAGAACAAAGAGAAAGCTCAGGGGTGATGGAGCTTTCTCAGTAGCAGCTCCAAGGTTGTGGAATGCACTCCCAATCCAGATTAGGATGGTTTCATCACTGTCGGGTTTTAAATCCCTTTTAAAGACTCATCTGTTCTTGCCTTTAATTCAGTTTGAGAATGCATTTTAGTAGCCTTTATGTCAGTTTGATATGTCTGTTTTTATCATGTTTTTACTTTGTGATGAACTTTTTATCTTGTTTTTAGAATTTTTAAGGAACTTCTGTTCTTTTTGGCTTGTTAAGGACTTTGGTCAGCTTTTATGCTGTTGCAAAGTGCTTTATACATAAAGTTGACTTGACCTGACAGTCAAAAAATGCCGTAGGTACCTCATATTTAACTACTTTCACACACACACACACACACACACACACACACACACACACACACACACACACACACACACACACACACACACACACACACACACAGGGCAGATAATCAATCAAATGCTGCCACCTACTGGAGACTTTATGAGCCTTCTAGAAGCACTTTACTTGAACCCATCTAGAAGATTATCCACTGACTTGTCTTTCCAGAGGTGCTGCTCCAGTAGCCGACCACATCTTCTGTACCTGCCAGCAGGTGATCTATGAGCTGAGAGCACACAGCATATGTCATTATTCCCTCAATTCATTTTAATTTTAGTTCTAACCATAGGCGTCATTTTAACCGGGGACGCCGGGGACATGTCCCCGGCAAAATTTGTGATTGGCAGCTGTGTCCCCCCCACTTTCAAAAACGCCTGCTGATGAGGATTTTTGTTTTACCAGCTCAGATCTTATGGGTCGGCAACCTGTTCCCATCAAAGAGCCATTATTACCCATTTCCCACAGTAATTTTGGACGGACCTTAATAAGCAGCGACTTAAGTGAAGCAGGCAGGTCGCGCTAGAAAATTTCGTTTAAAAAGATGTCATAAATGTGTTCCCCCGTCCTTTTTATTTATAAAATATGAAGTAAAAACTCACAATTTAATTTACATTCATTTGTCATTAATATGTAGTCTACACCCGTGCGTTAAGTGGACCATCTTCCAGTAAACGCAAAGCATCCAGCCCACCTCTCCAAATGCGTAAAATGTGCAGCTGATCGGCCCAGACAAGAGCAGAGCAAATAGAGAAAGAATAGAGGATAATTGTGTCTGGATGTGGATGGAGATTACATTTTACAGCAGCCTGATCATCATTTAAACACGTAAACCATCATCTGTCTTCTAGTCCACGCTATCAGCATTATTTTAATTGGTGTGTGTGTGTGTGTGTGTGTGTTCCACTTCAAACACTGGTCTAACCAACCAGACCAGCGTGTCCAGTAACATATTAATGTTACAATTAAACAGTTACACTTCATGTAGGCTAGGAACGTTTCACCTGCCGTGGCCCGACCGCTTCTGCTCCACATAAACTTTGTGCGTGATCAAATGTCTCTACGCGTCATGCGTCTCTATATTAGAGACGGAAACAAGCGCTGTTCAGCCAAAGTTTCATAATTTCATAAAAAGAACATTTTTCCAAGTGACACATCCCTCAGAGAGACCGGATTTCCAGACTGTTTCAGTGGGAGGAAATCTTATCGCATGCGCCGTTCTGCACTGCGCTGGAACCCCAGATCTTCAGCTCACTGTCCACTGTGGGCGCTCTGAGCCGCGCTGAACACAGTGTCCAGTATAAAGCTCTGATGTTCTGATGGGAATATTTTACCTCCGCGATGTGCATTAACGATTAAAATATCAGCTCATCCATGCGCATCCGTGTGCGTCGGGGTAATTCTTTCAAACCAAGCAACATCCTTGAGTTCATCTGTCAAAATAAACAGTCAAATGGAAATATATGTAACCTGCCGTTTAACTGTTTTGCCTTCATGTGAAGATTGTTGCAACGAGAAACAATTAAACTTGATTAACCCCAGAGCCACCCAGAGAACCAGAGCGCATGCGGAAGGTTCCTCCCACTGAAGCGAGTGTTTTCCAAACCCTGTCTCTCAGAGAGACTTGTCACTTAGAAAATGTTCCCTGATTATGAAACTTTGGCTGAATAGTGCTTGTTCCTGTCTCCAATGTGGCGACACATCCAGGAGCCTGTCTGAGGAGAATCCCAGAATCTCACATCCTCTTCAGCTCAGAAAGCGCCTATGATTACGCACAAGCGTGACGCGCCAACCCGGTCTCACAGTAAGACCGGGTTGGAACTGTTCAGGTTCACGCAGGCAATCTTTATATTTAGAATTGGCATACAGATGTAAAATTAATGCAGTAAAATATAAAGCATTTTATTTAAATATCCATTCATTATTTTACAAACAGAGAGCCGCATCAGATGGATGGAAGAGCCGCATGCGGCTCCAGAGCCGCGGGGTGCCGACCCCTGTGCTAGCCTACTTTATTGTCCCCAGCAATTTTTAAACCCCACCCAAGTGTATGGTTATTGTCCCCAGCAATTCTGAAAACAAACTGACGCCCTTGGTTCTAACGGACACAAAATCAAGATTAAAGGTTATGCCGCCATATAATGTTCTTTTATTTTAGTTTATTTTAGGTTTTTTTTTGTTTAGTTTTACTTATCCAACATATTATATCATTTAAGAATCACGCTCATGTAGATCAGAGACTCCACCCAGTGATCCCTCACCCTGCTGTGGACCTCCTCGCTGACAGTAGGAAGAGCTCTCCTCTTCCTCTTCACATCCAGCAGCTCTACCAGAGGCTTCGTGGTCATTCCCTGGAAGGTCAGCCAAAAGTTGAATTAACAACTTAAGAAGACAGCTTGTGTCAGAAATCACTTTCCCCGCCTGCACAAAGACAGTAAAGAGAATGACTGCAATGGTAGTGGTGATAAATAGTCTTTTCTTTGGGAAGTCGCCAATCAGGAAGACCAGGGAGACGCAGATTGCCCCTCTCAGTCCACCGTAGGCAATGATGAACCGGTCTCTGATGGTTACGGCATTTCTGCGAAGCTTGTTCACCACAGCAGTGAGCAGGAGAACTCCTTAAAGGAAGTGATAACGTGTGAATTAGTTATCTTATATCCATGAAAAGCCGGTCTGTTACGGCTGGTACCTTTTTTGCCCTGCGAAGGGGGAGATCTGTGGCCCCAGTTCCCAGGGCAAAAACGTTCCAGCCGTGACAGCACCAGCCGTATAACGCCGTATGAAGCGTGCGTTTTAAGTACCGGTGGCCCTCCAGGCAAGGCAGAGCAGCAACGTAGAGCAGCCAAAGGGCCAGCTCCACATATGGACTTCCTGTATGGTGGACACCCCCAGGAAGATAAAGATCAGCGTTTCACTCACACTGCTCCACATCTTCAGGAAGTATTGGATGCTGGTGTTGCTGCGCTGCGACGCGTTAGCGTCCACATCCTGTTTCATGGCTACAGCACAGGTCACGATGCTGCAGAATGGGAGGAAACAAACAGTAAAACTTCCAAACCAGCTCAGCGTTACAGGAAGTGGGATGATGCTCAGCAGCACTCACGCAGTGATGCCAGAGAGGTGGAGCATCTCTGACGTCAGGTATGACAGGTAGGAATAAAGAAAGACAAAAAAGGGGAGCAATGACTTGAGCTCTGGAGGTGAAACGTGAGGTGATGGCTGCCACCAGACCAAAGAACAAACTTGCAAAGAGCCCTCCAAGGCCCACCACCCTGCAGCCTCCCAGCAACACATCCAGCCCTGTCACGGATGGTAGCTGCAGGAAGGACTCAACGAGCTTATACAGCACCTGATAGCAAGGGAAGCAGTTTCATTATCAGACAACTGGTCCTGATGTCTGCACCACATCTGCTCTTACCACTGTGGCTGCATCATTGAGCAGAGACTCTCCAAAGACCAAGACTTGCAGCTGCTCGCTGACATGCATCTCTTGGAAACCGGAGAGCACAGGATCGACGGCGGCAATCAAAGAGCCAAACAGCAGGCAGTGAAGCAAAGAGGCATCTCCTAGAGAGCTTGGAGCCAGCAGGCAAACGCCATGCAGGGGCACGCCGACGCCCAGCACGTTCCACAGGGTCCCCAGCAAAGCATACCTGGAAATGTGCCACACAATGGGCTTTGTAAGCGCTTCAATGGTCCTGATTCGGGACGTCAACTCATACAACTACAATGGAATTCTCACGTTGTCATTTGAAAGACGAGTCATTCGTTGAGTTGAAACTGTTCACCGACCAGAGAATAGTGCCAAGGTTTTCAAAGAACAGCCTCCCGGGCAGGAAGTACCCTGCATCTAAAAGGATTGGTGGTAGCAGGAAGAGGAAGAAGGCCTCAGCACTCAAGAGTAGGGGGAGCTGAGTGGCGGACCCCATAAATCACCCCTCCAACAAGCAAACCCACCATGATGAGGACGCAGCTCTGTGGGACGACTGCAGGGACCCGACTGGACCAGTGGAAACCTGAGGGGATGAGAGTCAGAGGGGGTCTTTTGTACACTGTAGGTAAATATCCCATAGGTAACCCCTACATACCCTGTGGGTACCAGGCTGTATTTAGGGGTACAGGCTTAGCGAGCTTGGCTAGGGAGGCCAGCATGATCCACAGGACAATCTCAAATGGAGCTTGGACGTGGTGGTAGTCCACGCTGAAGACCTTCAGAACCATGGGCAGATCCGTAAACACACCACCCCTGCTGTTATTGAGGCCCAGCAAGGGGGCCAGACCTACCCTTTCCCCAGGTAGTTCCTCAGGAGGTTTCAGGGCCCAACAGCCCAGCAGACACCCCAAAAGATCCAGGAAAGTCCACCTGGCAGCCATCCTGTAACCACGAAGGGACAACAGCCGACAGGCCAACAGGGAGGACAGGGCGGGTAGCTGAGAGAGAGAGATGGGTGACAGCACACGAACGCTAGCAAAACGGGCCGAGCAGAAAACACTCAGCTGCTAATGTGCACAGGAATCTCTGAGCTAGCACTGACACCCATCCAACTGTACAGAGCTCAGCTGGGCTGACAAGCACCGGCGTTGAAAACTTCGCTTTTTTTCACAGAAATTTACAAAGTCTTTAAAAATTCACAGAGAGAGAACGTTTATTGTCAAACTCTAAAAGTAAAAAAAATGAAGTTATTTATTTCATTAAACAAACAGTTTGTCCTTCCACCCAAAATCTTATGGAGAGCTCTCATTTCAGAATATTTATGCTCAGACCGGTAAAGCATAGAGTTACAGTTACACACACACACACACACACACACACACACACACACACACACACACACACACACACACACTTCTGATGGTTTGAGCTCTAGGTCTAATTAAAACATGCTGATAAATCTTCACCTGGCAACACAAGTTAGAATTGTTCTCTAGAGTCGTCGTCGTCTTCCTCCGCTTATCCGGGTCCGGGTCGCGGGGGCAGCATCCCAACTAGGGAGCTCCAGACCGTCCACTCCCCGGCCACCTCCACCAGCTCCTCCGGCAGGACCCCAAGGCGTTCCCGGACCAGACTGGAGATGTAACCTCTCCAACGTGTCCTGGGTCGACCCGGGGGCCTCCTGCCGGCAGGACATGCCCGAAACACCTCCCCGGGGAGGCGTCCAGGAGGCATCCTGACCAGATGCCCAAACCACCTCAACTGACTCCTTTCGATCCGGAGAAGCAGCGGTTCTACTCCGAGTCCCTCCCGAATGTCCGAGCTCCTCACCCTATCTCTAAGGCTGAGCCCGGCCACCCTACGGAGGAAACTCATGTCGGCCGCTTGTATCCGCGATCTCGTTCTTTCGGTCATTACCCAAAGCTCATGACCATAGGTGAGGATTGGGACGTAGATCGACCGGTAAATCGAGAGTCTGGCTTTCTGGTTCAGCTCCCTGTTCACCACGGCAGATCGGCTCAGCGTCCGCATCACTGCAGACGCCGAACCAATCCGCCTGTCGATCTCCCGATCCCTCCTACCCTCACTCGTGAACAAGACCCCGAGATACTTAAACTCCTCCACTTGAGGTAGGACTTTGAAATAGAATAGAATATTAGTAACAATACTCAAATTTAGGTAAATTAGCAACCCAAAATTATCTTAAGGTGTGAGCCTGTGTGGGAGTTGAAGGGCCTGGAGACTTGCCGAAGCTCCCTGTGACCCTGATGAAGAAGCGTGAAGAGGTTCAGCTAACAGATGGATGGATAGAATAAAAACATATGTTTATGTGAGTTAGACTGATATATCGGGCCGATGTTTGTCCTTAGTAAAGCTGATTTAAAGTTAGGCGTGTCCTCGGGCAGTCCTGGTGCTGTTGCAGGTATTCCTTTAAATGTATTTTTGCATTCATTAATAAGATCTGCATAATAAATACGCCAAATTAACTTTCTTTAGGTGTCTGACTCGAACACAGAGAAGTGCACAAAGTTAAGATTTAACGTTTAGTTCAATTCAGAGTAAAAAAAACTGATTCAGCTGCAGAAATGTTGTAATTTGTGCTGATGTTGTTAACAGTTTAAGATGAAAATAAGGTGGGAAAAGTCTAGATATCAGATATGGAGGTCAGCCCATACCAACCAGCAGTACTTCTAAAATCACCTAAACTATTTAAAAGTCCCAGACTGGTTTGTTCGGTCTCTGCTTGGTCAGGTCATAGAAACACCAATATCGGTCATCCTCCAGTCTCACGTCTTCCAGGTTTTTTTTAACAAAATTTGGAAAATGATGTGGAAAGAAAGAAAGAAAGAAAGAAAGAAAGAAAGAAAGAAAGAAAGAAAGAAAGAATAAATTCCTCTTCTGTGTCTCTGCATTTAATTTGCAGATTAAAATCCCTTAAATTAGCTATTTACCTGCCGTAGCACTGACAGGGACACGTTACAAAGCCTGATTCGACTGACAGCTCTAATCCGTTAATTACCCAGAAACCTCGGTGAATATCTGTTTTCCACCCTTTTGCCCACATGAGCAAACGCCCTCAGCTCCCAACGTGTCGGTGGAGCCCCCACCCCTACGAACCTGCTCGTGAGGATTCGTGCTTCATGGGTTTTAATCTAGCACAAACAGACACATCATGAACACTTTTGTCCTGTCACACGCTGGCTTGGATTCCTGGACGTTAACAGTCATGCAAACAAGACTTCTTGTTGGAGGATCAGCGTCTTTATCCGCTGTTTGAGGCTCAGGTTGTAAATCCAAACTTCCATCCATCCAAACGTTCCTCTTCTGCTTACCCGAGGTCAGGTCTCAAACGTCACAGTTCCAGGGTCGAGTCCAGATGGCCGCACTTCCCAGAAACAACCTCCATCTCCTCCTGGGGTGAATCCCATGGTTTTTCCAGGCCAGAGAGAAAGCATACATCATGCAGGTGTTATTTGGTCTTTTACCAGCCTCCTCCCAGTGGAACATACCTCTCCCAAGATGATGATGGAGCACCTCATCTGATCTCTATAGGCTGAGCTCAGCTGCCCTAGAGAGGACGCTCACTTCAGTCGCCTGTTAAGATTTAAACACCATACTCCTAAGGTAGTTAGAAATTAAAAAACTAGATTTTATGGCTCCGACAATTGTTGTAAAACACACTCCCGTCCACCTCTACCAGTGCCACTGATACCTCCCCTGTTCCAGACTCTGGCTATTTCATGACTTCAGATGTAAAGAAGCAGGGTAACAATAATAAAAAATAAAGCTTTAACTGTTTTGATGCTTTCTGCACACACACTGCTACATAATCTAGCTTTTGACTTCAGTAAGTGGCTCAGAAAAGAAGCCTGTGACAGCAAGAAGCATACACTTAGTGTTGAACTTGGTTTAATCTTCACCAGGTGAGTAAAATACACTTAAATGGCTGCCAGGTAAAAATCATAGTGGTGCAGTTTCAGAATCAAACACCAGATGGCGTATGGAAGCAGCTCATGTTGAGGTTAATAAACCAGATTGATACAGTGAACTGCTTTATTATTGTCACAGTCGGGTCTTTAAGTGGGTGGGTGCACTTTTAAAGACTGAGTTTGTGACCTTGGGTCTCCCTGCAGCTGAGGGTGCTCTAAGTCTGAAATCCTCAACACCGGGGAGCTGAAGATGGATGAGGAGACTACTGGGACGCTCAGATAGATGTCCCAGCTATTCCCTTCTGAGTCTTTCTCCAGACTGGTTTCCAGTGAGTACAGTGCCTGTGACTGGTGGCTGGGCTGCGGTGGTGGCACCAGGCCGTGCAGAAGGCTGTTCCCCAGATGAGAGTTGCATCGAGCCAGGTTGTCAGTCAGGTGCTGCATGTACACCTCCTCCAGCTTCTTCTCCAGGAGCCTGTTCAGCACAGAGTTGGACATGGGCTCCAAACCCAAACCGGGCAGATCCAAGCTGATGTTCTCTCTGTCCCCCATTACCAGATAACCCTGGTCTGGGGTGGATGAAATCAAATCGCCGTGTTGGTTTTGTTGGGCTTCCGGATGAGGACTCAGTTCAGGGTCAGGACGCTGAAGGTTTTCCGAGCCTCTGGGTGGGTTGTGTGGAATGAGGCCTGAATCAACCACCTGCAGGTCTGGGTATTGTTCCAAAAGGCTGCAGTCATCCACACAGACGGGCTGGAGGGCAGTTGCAGGTGAACACCCAGGGATTAGAAGGCCTGGGACCCGAGGAAGCACTCTCGGGTGCGGGCCATGATGGCAGCCTTGAACATCTTGGTTAAACCCTAATTACAGAAAATAATTGGGATTATTCAAACATTTTATTGTAATCAGTTACTTTAAAGAACAGATTCACTGAGAAACATTTTTACTTATTGTTTTTGAAAATGATCGGTCACTCTGAAGTTTACATGCAGGCTGAACATGAACGCAGTCTTCTACCCCGATTTCCTGCATTAGCTTCTGATAGAAAATAAACAGAAAAATACTCGGTTCAGAAAATTCTGACAGATCTACGTCACAATGCCACCTAACTTTCATAGATTCACTCATCTTGACTCACGACATTAAAGGCTGTTATTGGTTTAACGACCAGGAAACAGCAGAGCACGTCAGCTAGTAGAAGCTAACTGTTAGCATTAGCAGCTCCACCACACAGAAGAACTCCTTCAGGCTTGTGTTATTTGTGGGGATAAAACATCAATGTTTTCAAAGCAAACAGAGTTTGAGGTAGAGTTCTGTTCCTGTTAACCAATCAGAGGCCAGAAGACAACAAATCCTGTCGTTTTCTGACACTTTCCCCTCTGGCTGAGTTCTACGTCCTCAAACAGGCGCACCAGAGAACAACTTACAAGGCATCCATTCCTAATAGAGACCACTGCATTAAAGGTATTGGCCAGAGGCAAAATTCCTTTGAACAGCATGTGTAAAGCATTACTAAAACCTCAGATGAAAAAGGTTTTTGGATTTTCACAGCTGGAATTTTAAGAAAATCTTATGTTTCTGACTGGAGAGGGAAAAGCAGAAACTAGCTTCCGGTGCTGGTGACGTTTCACAAGGAGATATGTTTCTGTGTTAGCGTTATAGCAGAGAACAATGTGTCATCAGTCAGATGTAGCTTCTGAAGCCTCTGCTAATCGGTCAGATTTGTTTTTTCTCTGGGATACGGCAACGAGGACGGTATTGGATTACCGGAGAAGCTCAACCGAACTCCGACCCCGCTAGCTGGATATCACTTTCAGAGGTGCAGACATGTTCGACTCAGAAGACACACGACTTGGTCTGCACATCGAGGAAGATTCTGTTCATCTTCAGAACCAAAATTGGTTTGTTTACTTTTATATTTTACTCTTCATTTCTGTCGCCACCGGGGAGCTCTAAGTTTACGAGTTCTCATCTGGTCTTAGCTCCATCATGTGTCCCAATATTATAATTCAGTAATCTACAAATAAATAAAATAATGTGCTGCCAGTTTTACCGCTGTGTGTATATATTTATATAACTCCGGAAAATATTTAACTGAGAATTTACCAGAATAAATCTTCCTGATGCTGGAGTAACTCCTTAGTTTGACTATTTGTTTACACTACTCCAGGATGGCACGGAGGTTCTACCGATTCAACGAGGATCATTGTTGAATTATGAGGATCATCTTTTAGATTTAATCTCTGTGTGTGTGTGTGTGTGTGTGTGTGTGTGTGTGTGTGTGTGTGTGTGTGTGTGTGTGTGTGTGTGTGTGTGTGTGGTAGCTTTCCCAAATGACTTGTTTTTTTCCTTACCGGAGCTAACACGGTTAGCAATGTTGCTAATGGGACTCGTCTGGAGTCTACAAGTAGCGGTGCAGTTCCAGATGGTTAATATTTTAGATCAGACCCATGTTAGTTAAAAATGTATGTAGGACACGGACATATGGCTCAGACCTTTTGCTGCAGCTGTAAACCCAATTTTCCGTAATAAGAGCACAAAAGTAAACAAAATACAGTCATTCACAATACTAACAACAGCAGCTACCTTGTTTTACGTGTTTACGGAGTGACGTGTGTGATGAGAATTAAAAAGAGAGATCATATCTCTCCTGTCTTAGCTTCCCTACATTGGCTACATGTTAAATTCAGAATAGATTTTAAGATCCTTCTTCTCACATATAAAGCTCTTAATAATCAAGCTCCATCATACATCAGTGATCTGATTGTTCCATACGTTCCTAACCGAGCACTTCGCTCTCAGACAGCAGGTTTACTGGTGGTTCCCAGAATGTCTAAAATTAGGATATCTTTTAGTTATCGGGCTCCTCTCCTGTGGAACCAGCTCCCAGCCTTAGTCCGTGAGGCAGACACCTTGTCTACTTTTAAGACTAGGCTTAAAGTGGGCACCAGCATTCGGGATGAGGCTGAGAAATCCCCCTGCCAAATGCCGTTGAATGTGCTCACTCCCAAGGCCCTAAGTGTGTGTTTGTGTGGAATGTCGTTGGTGGAAGTGTTTAAGGTGCAAACAAAACTGGGGTCAGGTTGCCACAGGAATGCGGAAATGGGGTCCATACCCGCATTCCCTGACTTGTCCACCCCCCAAGGTCCTATGTGCATGTTTGTGTAATGATGTGAGGGAGCAGGAGGAGAGAAATGTTTGGGGATGGGGAGGAATGGCTGGTTGGGCTTAGCCCTCCAGGGAGCCAGCTCCCCCACTGGCCCCAATAGGCACCTCTGTTGTCAAATTGGCACCCAGAGCATGGAGACCCCAGCCCATCCTGCCAGGGCCCAAAGCAGCAGCATCACAGAGCCTCGCAGAGTCCGAGGGCAGCAACCCAGCCCCACGCCTGCAGAATATCTACGCCCATCCCTGCATTTGCACAACTTCCAGATTATAAAAGACATAGGACATCCAGGTAAGGTTGGGTCCTCCCCCTCCTGGACTTCCCCCTGGACTGCTGCATGTTCCTGCCTTCTCCCCGGCAGCATACATGTCAGGACCCGACCCCCAACGCCCCGCTCAGATCCCCCCATGGGGGCGGCCACCCCACACCCTGAACCCCCAGGACCCCACCCAGACCCGCCCAGGGGCAATTCAGCTGCTGGGCAGTGAGTGACCCATGGCCACCGCCAAGACCTCCAAGGGGCCCCACTCACAACCGCCAGCAGAAAGGGTCGAACTCTGGGAGCGGGTAATGGTTGTACCCCATGTGCAGCAGTACCGGGACCAGAGTGAATAGGGTGTGTATGGGGTGCATGAGTGGGTGTCCGGCGTGCATTTTTGTAAGTATTTGGTTGTATGTGCATGTGTGAGCATGAGGGAGGGAGTGTGTGACTGTGTTTGTGTATGACTGTATATGTCAGGTGGGGCTTTTGACTCCTCCCTTCTCCTGGGACTTCTTTTGATGATATACATCTTCGTCTCCCCTCCCCCTGCCACACCTGGTGTGGAGTGCGGTGCCTTAGTCTGCCTAAGTGTTTGTGGCTCCCGGGTCAGGGAGTTTAAGATTTTTGGCGTCTGCCTGACCAATCCCGGTGGCTGCCTGGTGGGGTCTGGGTCGCTGGGCTCTGCTGGGTCCCCGGCGGGGGTGGTCGCCCCTGGGTCCCGGGTCGCTAGGTCCCGGGCTCGGCCGGCTAGGGGGTGGGAGGCTGCGAGTAGGCCTGTGGGCTTGCCACCGATATCTACCGGGACTCTGCCGGCTGCTGGTTGTGGCCCCCCGGGGGGATCCTCTGCGCCTCTCGAGGGGGGCAGGGTCTTTTCTGGTTGCAGTCTCCCTGGGGTTCCTGTGCTCTGGGGCAGCTCCTGGATCTCTGGGACTTGGAGCTCCCTCCTGTCATGGTCGGCATCTGCGTCTTCCCTCATTTGTCTCCTTGTGTTCTCCATCCCTCTCTAGGTTCTCCTTTTGTGTCTCCTAGCGCCCTCATGTGTCCCTGTCTGCGTCTTCCTCATGTGTCTCATGGTGTTCCCCATTTTTCCCCAGATCTTCAGCCCTCTACGTTTCCCTCCCCAGATACCCCCCCCCCCCCAGTTCCTGTACTCCCGTGGCCCCCTTTAGTCACGCCCCTGTAGTTTTTCTTTCTGTAGTGTTTTTCTTTTAGTTTCAGCTTCCCCCCCCCTACCCCCCCCCCACCCCCACCCCCTAAGAATATTAAGTTTTCTGCCCTTCTGGTCTTTAGGTTTTTCTCTTAGGTCATTTTCCTTTAGCTACAGCTGTTCAAATTATTAGTCTCTCTAGTGTGTTTTTCCCATCGGTGTTTGAGGTTTTTCGCCCCCCTTAGATTATTAAGTTATGTTTCCTGCTCTTCATGTCTTTAGGTTTTATTCTTAGGTCATGTTAGTTTTCCTCCCTGATTAGTAACTCAGTTCACCTGGTCTCTCTCCCCACACACCTGCAGGTCATCTCCCTCTCATCCTCCCCAGTGTAAAAACCCTGTCTGTGTCTCAATGTTTTGTCGGTCCATTGTTTGGTGTCAGTGTTGTTTTGTTCCTCGTCTCTAGGTTTTGTGCTCTAAGTGAGCTTTTGTCTCCAGGGTTTCAGGATATTGGTTTTTGGCTTCTTGCTCTTTTGGAATTTTTTGTTCTACTTCCTAATAAAGGAATGTTTTCATTTACATCCACTCCTGCCTTGTGTTGTTCTGGGTGTCTGCATTTGGGGTCCAAATCCCCCCCCCCCCCCCCCCCCCCCCGACTCGCAGCGTGACACCTCCGTCTCCTGCACATCTTTATGGGGCGGATCTGTAGCCCCTCACACTCTCTATCGGACGCTCCTATAGAGAAACCTTACATAAACAAGCGCGTGCACACACACAGGTGCTGACATAAGTATGGACTTGGGCACATTCAACACAGGTCTTAAAACTATGGTGGGCACTTAATGCACTGTGATTTATTATCCTGTGATTGTTCAGTTAAACAATTTGGATTATATATTTCTTCATCAAGTTGACGCGGTGATAACTGGATCTTGTTATATTGTTGTTGTGTCCCATTTTTTTTTCTTCTCTCTTTATGCAGGTCTAGAAGCAGGCTCTTGTTCATTATTGTTTATTTTTGTGTAACCCCCCCCCCCCCCCCCCCCCCCCACACACACACACACACACACACACACCTTTTGTCTCTTCCTTTCTCTTTCACCTCTGACTCCGTGTCTGGTCGGAATTAAAAAGCATTCAAAAACAATAACAATAAAGTTTTAAGTATCAGGCGTGACATTCTGTAAGGCTTGTCACCAACATTCAGACATCAATTCTGTTTGCCTCACAGCCAGACAGGACATGGGGGGAAAAAAAAGACTAGGCTTAAAACATTTTTATTTGATAGGGCCTATGGTTAAAATCTGATGTTAGCCTAAATCAGGACAAGTGGGGGAGTAGAGGGAGGTGGAGTGTACAGTCGGTAAAGACGGCTCTCCCTTGCCCTGCCTCCAACATGCCTCCATCTAAATAGGATAGATTATCCAGAGTTATCTCTGTAGTTATGCTGCTATAGGCTTAGACTGCTGGAGGATACACTGACCACTTTCCACACTCGACTACTTTCTTCTACAATCTGCTCTTTAACTGTATTATTTCCTGCTATTTCAGCTGTTAACTTTATTTTCTCTCAAGTGTTTTTCTCCCCAGAAGAAGCTACAATGATGTTCTGCTGAGCTGTGGTGGCCTCATGGAGGGGGCCATCGACTAGCACATTGCTGCTAACCACTTAAACATTCTCCTTCTCCTGATAATAACTTTTTGCTTTCCTTGACGTTGGATGTGCTACTACTAGTTTACCCGTTTAATTATAGAACCACTAGGATAAATACAATAAAGTTTATCTCTCACCAAATAGAATGTTTACTAAGACATCACAATATTACTATAGACACATTACTTGGTGTGTGCGTGCGTGTGTGTGTGTGTGTGTGTGTGTGTGTGTGTGTGTGTGTGTGTGTGTGTGTGTGTGTGTGTGTGTGTGTGTGTGTGTCTGCTCTGTCTTCTCCATCCCCAGTGAGTCGTGGAGGATGGCTGCTTATACTGAGCCAGGATTCTCTGGAGGTTTCTTCCTGTTAAAAGGGAGTTTTCCTCTCCACTGTCGCTGCATGCTTGCTTAGTATGAGGATTGCTGTATAGTCACTGACACTAGTCAGTGACTTGATGCAATTTGCTGGGTTCTTTATATAGGAAACATTTCACTGATTGGCTTGATGAACTGACCTTGAGACGACTCGTCGTGATTTGGCGCTATATAAATAAAATTGAATTGAATTGAATTGAAACACAGTTATTCACTCTCTCGAGGAGAGGATTTAGATTTTCTGTAATGATTTATGACAAAAGTCCTTAACAAAATTTTAATAAACTGAACATGGTTCATATTTATATAGATGGTAAAGTGTAGTTATACTGCATTTCTACAATTTTAATGGCAAGTCTGGTCAATACCTTTAAAAATATCAGTAAAGTTGACCTTTAACATTTTTGTTTCTATCCAACTTTGAATCTTTTCCTTTGACTTGTCATCAATGGGTTAAATCGACTGTTTTGGGTTTAGATCTGATCTAATACCAGCAACCTGAGATCACAACCCTTACCATCATCTGTTTTTAAATGAAGAACACATCTAACAGACCCATGGTCTCCCTGGTTTAACGTGCTGCTCTAGGTGGATCTGACACTCGACAACAACAGATGGTGACAACAGATCTGACCAAACAGGAAGCATTTGCATCAAAGTAAACAAAAAGAAAACATGGCAACACAAGTCCAGAGCAGACAGTTTTAGTTTTCTGCACTTGTGAACGGTGTAAGGTCATGAGATGGTTTACCTTCTTCAGCGGAGATCGTGTGTGGTTCGGTGCAGTTTGGGTCAGGGACAGTGCCGGGCGGGTCGGAACACAGGCCACCTTTCTGCCTTCTCTTCTGTTTGGAAGTGACAGCAAACTTTCTCTCCTCCCTGTAACACAACACCCTAAGAAATCCCTCGGCCAACATGACACCAGGAGTGTCTTCTTCGTTTTCTGCCCTTTTTTTGATTCTTGTGAATAACAAGATAACTTCTTATTAGTAATCGCTGATGCACCGTTTGATTGCAAGAACAGGGCCGAGTTCCTTGTTTCACTTCTGTAAATAAGAATTAGTCCCCCACCTCCACTTCCTTTATCTGACAGCAGCAGAAACACAAACTGTCTTCGTTTCACTTTGATTTTAAAATAAAAGGCAGACGTGGAAAATATCTAATTGGCCAGCAACTCAGTACATTTAGATGTGGTGAAGAAATCCTGATGAAGTTTAACATTAAACAAAAAAATTTTAAGGGACTTTGAACAAGGCGTGGTTGTTGGTAGCAGCTAGGCTGGTCTCAGTATTTCTGCAAACGGCGGTTCAAATCTCAGCTGCTGCCTTAATGTATGGAGTTCTCCTTATACATGCACGTGTTTTCTTCCGGTACTCGGGTCTCCTCCCACAGACAAAGAAACATGCATATTAGGTAGATTGGAGGCTAAACTGTCACTAGGGGTGAGTATGTGGCTATTCGCTTGTCTCAGTGTACCGATGTGAAGAACTAGACATGTCCAGGGGGTCTCCTACCTCTCGCCCAATGACAAATAAAGATAGACTCCCATTGCCCCATGAGCTTGGTTCCTACCAAGGTCTACAGAACAGCATCTCTGAACCACAACATGTAGAACCTTGAAAAAGGTGGACTCCAGCAGCAGAAGACCCCACCAGATGTCCCTCCTGTAAGCTAAACAGAAAACCGAGGCTACAATTTCCACAGGATCACCATAACTGGACCAGAAGAGACTGGAAAAGCCTTTTCTGGTCCAAAGAGTCTGGATTTCAGTTACAATGTTCAGATGGTCGAGTCAGAATCTGGTGTCACCAACATGAAAGCATGGATCCAATCTGCCTTGTAATGCTTCAGCACGGTGGTGGGGGTGTAATGGTATGTGGGAGATGTTCTTGGCCCACTCTGGACCCCTTATGGGCCAGTTAGACTGGGGTCAGTTCAGTCTGAGCCAGGTGGGGTAAATGCATTAACATCGGCTTTCTCCGTGCAGAGCTGACCATTTATTCCAACCCAGCTTTCCTGCGGTCTGTTTCGTGTTGAGCGTGTCAAACTCACCTGTGGACCGAATGGCCAGATGAAGTGATGCCACTCTCACTCCAACCTACTAGTGGGAACCTCAGATTGGTGTGGGTAGAATCAGCCAGCAGCACTTTCTTGCATGCGTGATTCAATGACAATCTGGATGCAGTGATGCAAACATATTTGACTTCAGCTCGGACCGGCAGCTGCGGCTGCAGCAGCACGAGGACTGATCGTCTCCTGTGAGTGCATTTGGATGGAAGAGGATCCCACAACACCACCACTGCTCAGTGAGAAGAGTAGGGAGTTGTGAGATTCATGTCAGTCTACAAAAGCATCACTGCTCATGTCCACTTTTGTTAGCGTAACGTGGCATTCAGAAAGGACACAATCTCTGTGCCTCTTTAGTGGACCTGCCCACATGCTCGGCCATCCGCGTTCCTAAGAAGGGTGTGTAAGCATAACCTGGCCACATGGGGCGGCCCAAGTCGAGCTGGACAAAGTTTAAGTGGGACCATTAGTCCCACCTGGGGCTGGCTTCATCACCACAGCCTACCGGAGTATTGCTGTTGACCACGTCTGTCCCTGTATGACCACATAGACCATCTTCTGATGGATACATCTATTCACACACACATTCACATGCTGGTGATGATGAGCTTCCATGTAGCCACAGCTGCCCTAGGGCACACTAACAGGTGAGGCTTCTGAGCACAGGCGCCACTGGTCTGTCACGATGTAAGCCAGGAGGAGGTTAGGACCCAAGATGCAGAACCAGGATGACACAACGCAGTAGTAGGAAACGTAAAATCCTTTATTAGGAATAATTGTCCAAAAGTAAAGTCCAAAAAGGGCAGGTAGCCAAAAACCTAAATCCAAAAATCCTAATGCGCAAACCTTGAGACCAAGAGGCGAAGAGCTCCTTTAAAGAGCAAAACCTAGAGACATCCAAATACCTAGAGACCAGAGACCAGGAGAGGAAAACGAGACAGCGCTGACACAAACAGTGGACCGACAACACATTGAGACGCAGACAGGGTTATGAACACAGGGAAACAATCAGGGAAACAGGTGATAGGTGTGTGGGGAGTGAGATCAGAAGGGATCTGGTGAGACTAGTTAACTAAGGCCTAGTACACACGTAGCCGGGTTTTTTAAAAACGAATATCCGCCCCTCCAAAAACTTGCACCCACACCACCTCGTTTTAAAAAAAACTCTGTCCACACGTACCCGGATAAATAGGTTGTTAAGGACATGCCAGACCTGTAGGCGGCAGTACTTCCCCCGTTCTTAACCTCGTCCTTCGTCTGTGGTCTTCCGCAAGGAGCAGTAATTCCGCTTGCAAGAACAAACAAGCAGAAAGCGCTTGGACAATCGATGAAGCGAGCGCAGCTCTGAGGGCATCCATGCTGTCGGCTAGTGGAAACACAGGTCGCACACGTGATGTCAGCATTTTTCTGTCGTGGAAAGTGACGTTGCGGACCTTAAAAGTCCGGTTTTGTCTGTCCACACGCAGACACCCAAAACGGAGAAAACGCAGATCTTCACTTTGGCCGGAGTTTTTAAAAAGATCCGTTTTCGTGTGAAAAAACTCCGTTTTCGTGTGAAAAAACTCCGTTTTCGTGTGGATGACAGGCCAAAACGTAGAAAAATATCTAGGTTTTGGCAGATCCCCGGCTACGTGTGGACAGGGCCTAAGTGGGGAAAACTGACTAGGTAAAATTAATCTACAGAGAACGAAAGATAAGTGACCTCCTAAACCTGAAAACTAGACACCAGAAGAAAAACACTAACAGGGATGGGATGACTAAATCTGAAATCGCTAAGGGGAACCTGAGGGAGCTGGAGACCTAAAGGGAACACATGAGGGGGACACAGGACGCAGAACATGACATGGTCCAGCCGACCACCACCAGCAATAAAGAAGGGTTAGGTGGCTTGCCCAAGGACACAACAGCAGAATTCTCCACCAGGAGCCAGAATTGAACCTGCAACCTTCCAATTACTGGGCAACCCGCCCTACCTCCTGCGCTACTGCAAACAGGAAATGGCAATGTTTCTCAGCATGAGTGTTTGTTGCCTTGGTCTTTTAAAGTAAAGCAAAAATAAAACTTTATTTTTGCATTCATATGTTTTCAATCAACTGAAAAAGCTGCATTTTCATTATTTATGTAGCACGGGTTCAAACTGTTCAACAGATCAGGTGCTAACTGTGTCTGACTTCTGTGTGTTTTTGTGATTTTTACATATAAAAAAATGATTTTCTTTTCTCCAAACCTATCCAGACATGGATATGAATAAAACTAAATCGCACACATTTGAAAGCTTTTCGCGAACCCTGCACACAAAAACATCACTATTGTATGGAAAAATTCATTCAACAAACTCACTGAGGCTTGTTTTGTTTTTGTTTATTTCAGAGAGGACTCTGTACAGACATTCACAACAAAATGGGAATCAAGATTCCAACTGCAACTTCTTCAAAATTCAAACTATTACAAAAAAATCCAATCCCTCGTTTGGCCGTTTGGGCACGTGTCACCAACATCCGAAACATTTGACCGCTTAGAAACAAAAATAATAATAAAACGCATTAAGACTCGGTTAGGTAAACAAAAGGACATTATAATAGATGATAAATTCTCCAAAAAGTTTCATTTGGTGTTCCCAGGACTTTTAAACCTCACAATGTGGAAACGATTAGAGTGACTTCTGTTACTGCCTAGTTTTGCAGTAGCTACACGTTCGTGATGATGAGTGGCTGACATGTCAGAAGGCCAATAGGCTGAGGTTAAATTCTCCAAACTGCGCCTCCTTTCACCGCAGCTGCAAAGGCACATCTCAAGATCAGATATAACAAACATATTGAGTTAACAAGTCAAAACAGTGGATTTATTCATAAGCTGAGAAAGGAGTCGATTCTTCTTAGTTTCTGGTTCTGTTCTGGTCAGTAGGTCCAGGTGGGGGTCTGGGGAAGGCCTGAGGTTCAAGTTAGGAACGGCGTAAAGATGCTACTGCTGTGATTTCTTTGCTAGAGCCTCGGCTTCCTGGTGAGAAATAACAGAAGAATATGTTAACTATCTAAACACAGAGGTAGGCTATCCTGCAGTTTCTGTTGAGGCAGACAGGAGGCGCCAGTGTACAGGTGTGGAAGACAAAAAAGGAGAAGAGGCCTGTTGTGGTGTTTAAATATCACCGACACACGTCTAGTGTGTGTCTCCTGTATGTAAATGACCGCCAGGACACCTGATTTAAATGGGTGGTCTGCAGGAGAGCAGTTCAAAGAAAGGAGAAATGCTAACGAGCGTGATTGTCTGAGAGCTTACCTTTGACCCCGGAGGAGCAGTCAAACCCAGAAATGCATAAACAGCATTATCTTCTCTGGCATCAAAAAAGGCCTCGTAGTTCTGAAAGCAAAACAGTTGAGTGTATGGTATCAGCTCCCCTAAATTAAACCTGCTTAAATCCTGAATCTGGGCCTCAAAGCTGCAATCCGAGTACCCGAGCTAGTTATATACCTGAAGAAAGGTCTCGGCAGAAAACCCCATAGCAGGACATTGTGCTAGAGAATGCAACCAAGACTAAGAAGCTAACAAAGTTGGTCACCTGTTGGATTGTAGCTGGCTTTTTCTTTTTCTCCCACTCACTCAAACACGCCCTACAGCTGCAGCAAACCTGGGAGTGACATTCAATACATTCTCCATGTGCAACTCCACCTCCGTCCACCCATTAGCTGCTCAGCAGGAAGCCAAACTGTAAGCCTGCTAACAGCTTGCTTGGTGGTAGTGGGAATAAACCGGTTTGTGCAGGCTTGTTGCCGTGCATTTGCATTGCATTGTTCATTTCTATGTATCAGCATGAACGGGCCTCCTTTTGCATGATCTACTGACATCTGCCTGGGCTCAAGGTTGCCCATCAGCCTGGATTTGCTGAGGTGTGATGGAAGCCCAGGCTGCTTTAGCAGCAGCCTTCAGGTCATCTGCATTGTTGGGTCTGGTGTCTCCTCTTGACAATAACCCATAGATTCTCTACCGGGATTCAGGCCAGGGCCATTAAACCAGCGTTTAGTACCTTTGGCAGTGAGGGCAGGTCCTGCTGGAAAATGAAATCTCCATAAAGCTTGTTAGCTGAAGGGAGGAGCTCTAACATGTCCTGGTAGATGTCTTTGTTGACTATGGGCTTCAGAAAACACAGTGGACCTAAACCAGCTGATGACAACCTCACTAACTAAGGAAATTTCACCCCAGAGGTCAAGCAACAAGGATTCTGAGCTTCTCCACTCTTCCTCCAGACTCTGGACTCTGGAGCAGTTAAGATGCTCCTGACGTAGTCTCCGGTTCAGGGATGGACTGACATGTCCATTCAATAGTCCATGACAGGGCAGCCTGCTGACCCAGACTGAGACAACATTTAGAAGCTCGGCAAGCCTTCATACGTGTCTTATAATTCAATTAGCTGATTAGGGTTTGACGAGTGTTCAATATTTCACTTTTGCACAACATTCCAGTCCTCTGAGGCACGGAAAAGTGGGAGTTTCTTATCTGTAGCTATAAGAACCTTCACCAGCATAAGCATCATACTTACAGTGTGTGTAATGAATTGGTATGTGTCACTGTCTGAAACGAGTGACACAGAAACTGGAGCTTTGTCATAATATTCAAAACATGTAAATGCACTATTATTTATCACAAGGGGCTGCGCAGTAATGCGGTGGTACTGGTTAGCATTGTGGCCTTGGAGCAAGAAGGTCCCAGGTTCAAATCCAGGCCTGGGTCACTCAGACCTCCACCGATCCCTGTGGCCAGAATACCGCACTTGCAACTTCAGAGTGCCGGTCCGGTCCCTATTGGACTTAACTCATTCACTGCCATTGACGACTAAAGTCGTCATTTGCATTTTTTTACTGTGTTGGCATCGGAACGAGCCCCCCCCCCCCCCCCCCCCCCCACCGAGAGAACAAACATCCCAGCTCTAAAGCCGATCTTTATCCGCGCACGTCACACGTCACATGATCAGGAAGCAGAATATCCACGTGTTAGGAGATCGTTTTGGGCCGCTGCTGTAAAAAAAAGTGAGGCGCGAACCGGAAAAGCTTCTGCCGATCACAATTCAACAACGGATTATGAAAGAACGGATAACGCTCGAAACGCGCTGATTTTTCCTGATGTAAGAGGTGAGTCTCCGCTTTGTTTTGGTAGTTTCGGCGTCGACATCATCCTAGCGTGCAACGTTCTGTGACTCTTAAAAAAACAGTAAAAACGGTGAAAAACGCTGGCAGCGAATGTTAATAACAGAAGAGCTGGCATGCTCTTGGGGCAGCAGTAGCTCCGGAGGTAGAGCGGGTTGCCTCATGATCGGAGGGTCGTGGGTTTGATTCCAGCTCCCACCAGGGGTATTCTGCTGTTGTGTCCTTGGGCAAGACACTTCACCCAACTTGCCTGTGTTAGTGGTGGTCAGAGGGGCCGACGGCGCCAAATGGCAGCCTCGCCTCTGTCAGACCTCCTCAGGGCGGCTGTGGCTACGTAGTAGCTTACCATCACTAGCAGTGTGTGAATGTAAGTGTGTGTGAAAGCGTCTTTGAGAGTCCTGAAAAGCGCTATACAAGTTCAATGCATTATTTATTATTATTATTATTATTATTATTATTATGCCTGGCGCTGGAATTTGCTTCCAGCACATTCCCTGGATGTTTTATTTTGTGAACACAGCTGATTTGTTTGATTTAGTGATGAACCACCCCTGTAGACACTAATGAAGACTGAGGAGACATTTCAGCTGTTAGATTAAGGTGTGTAAATGGAATGCACAGCGAGGAGACAAGTGTCACTTTTGGTTTTACTACTTGGACACTAGAGGGTGCTAAAAGCTAGCCAAAAGTAGCTAGCATTCCTTTAATGAAGGTATCAGAATCAGTACAGGAAACATTGTCCCATTATTACAGTGTGTGTTGTTCTCACCCCACAATATGTGGTTTCATTGAATATCTGAGGGGGGAGAGGGTTCCCCGTGGTAGGTCTGCTCTCCTCTGGGATATTCTCTCTCATCCACTTCCTGTTGGATTCGTTGGCCGCGATGTCACACTCCTCAAACTCAATCTTATTGGCCGCCAGGAAGCCCATCACATCCTGCTGCTGCTTTTTAATCTGTGTGATGGGGAAATGGGAAAGGGGAAGTTGTCAGTCATTAACGCTACAATTAGGAGGAAACAGAAGGTTCACCATGCTGTCAACTGTCTGCTTTGAACATAAGGACAGCTTGTTTGTGTAAGAAACGACACGGAGAAGTGCTGGCTGCCCTGTTACTAAGCTACCACCGCCCTGCTGCCGAGTTAAGTAGCTAAAAAAGTATTAACAATATTATCTTCAGCAAAACTAATCAGGGAGGAGTTGAAATTTAGTTGCATGGGGAAAAAACACCAAGACACCTGGGCAAAACCAGTGAAATTATAAACACCCAAGGTCAAAGGTGGTTTTTTACAAAGAGTAGCTTTAGATCCTATTTTTAGATTGTTCTAACAAATACAGAAGCATAATTACTCGCATTTCCAAAGGTTTGATCAATAATCACACAAAGCTTATGCAAAGAAGACTTCTCTGCAGAGTTGGCCCCAAAACCTTTGTCTTTATGTTTTGTGTAGTGCTCTCAGTCACCTTCTGAGCCATCAGTTTTTGCTTGATCAGGGCTTTGAGTTTCACAGTTTGGAGCTTTTGTTCGTCCACCTGGTTTTTGAGGATTACCCACAGAAAACAAAACAACTGTCATGTCTCCCAGGCTGCCATCCTCCTCAGCCAAGCCCTCATCCTCCTAATTCACCACACCTGCACCCTGTAATCATATCATCCTGTTCACCTGACCCAGCAGCTATATAGTATATTCCCCAGCCAGCCACCAGCTCCCTGCCAGATTTTTGAACGCCACAGCAAGTAGATTCTCCAGCCTTCTGATTGTTACCTGACTCTCAGACCCCGACCCTGTTCTGACTCCCAGATTTCTGCCTTTCCTTGCCCCCGTTGTTGGATTTCCTGGATCTTTAATCTTTTTGGCCTGTCTTCTGACTTCAAGCCTCTCGCCTGCCTCCTTTTATCCCTTGCAGCTCTCTCTGGTTCTGACCCACGCTTCCACCTGACCAAGCCCCTGACATCTTTCTGGATTTTTGGTAACAAATACCTGAACTGTTAAATTAAAAAAAAACTTCTAGATGTGTTCGGTTGTCCTCACAGGTCCTCCATCTAAGGATATTAATACAACAGAAAAAACAATGGAAGATAAATACAGGGAGTGCAGAATTATTAGGCAAATGAGTATTTTGTCCAAATCATCCTCTTCATGCATGTTGTCTTACTCCAAGCTGTATAGGCTCGAAAGCCTACGACCAATAAGCATATTAGGTGATGTGCATCTCTGTAATGAGAAGGGGTGTGGTCTAATGACATCAACACCCTATAACAGGTGTGCATAATTATTAGGCAACTTCCTTTCCTTTGGCAAAATGGGTCAAAAGAAGGACTTGACAGGCTCAGAAAAGTCAAAAATAGTGAGATATCTTGCAGAGGGATGCAGCAGTCTTAAAACTGCAAAGCTTCTGAAGCGTGATCATCGAACAATCAAGCGTTTCATTCTAAATAGTCAACAGGGTTGCAAGAAGCGTGTGGACAAACCAAGGCGCAAAATAACTGCCCATGAACTGAGAAAAGTCCAGCGTGCAGCTGCCAAGATGCCACTTGCCACCAGTTTGGCTGTATTTCAGAGCTGCAGCATCACTGGTGTGCCCAAAAGCACAAGGTGTGCAATACTCAGAGACATGGCCAAGGTAAGAAAGGCTGAAAGACGACCACCACTGAACAAGACACACAAGCTGAAACGTCAAGACTGGGCCAAGAAATATCTCAAGACTGACTTTTCTAAGGTTTTATGGACTGATGAAATGAGAGTGAGTCTTGATGGGCCAGATGGATGGGCCCGTGGCTGGATTGGTAAAGGGCAGAGAGCTCCAGTCCCACTCAGACGCCAGCAAGGTGGAGGTGGAGTACTGGTTTGGGCTGGTATCATCAAAGATGAGCTTGTGGGGCCTTTTCGGGTTGAGGATGGAGTCAAGCTCGAATCCCAGTCCTACTGCCAGTTTCTGGAAGACACCTTCTTCAAGAAGTGGTACAGGAAGAAGTCTAGCCTAGTGAACTAGACCAAATTCTTGCTTTGCAAAGTTTGGTCTAGGCATGCTCCATTGGAACCTCCGCAGCTCCTACCAGGACTCTGGCTAGCCAATCACAGCTCTCTAGAGGGGTTTCAAACACATTAAGAGCTGTGATTGGTCCATAATGGTGGGCCAATCATAGTGCTCTATCTGCTTAGTGAACAAATCACAGAGCTTTATCCGCTTTGTGGGCCAGTCAGGGCACTCTATATGCCTGGTGGGTGGGATGATGCAACAGAGTGAAACAAGAGTATGTCACATTCATTGTCCAGTGGAATGCGGAGATCATTTGAAAGACAACGGTAGAACCCGCCCAATGGAGCCAGGCTAGAAGAAGTCTGCATCCTTCAAGAAAAACATGATTTTCATGCAGGACAATGCTCCATCACACGCGTCCAAGTACTCCACAGCGTGGCTGGCAAGAAAGGGTACAAAAGAAGAAAAACTAATGACATGGCCTCCTTGTTCACCTGATCTGAACCCCATTGAGAACCTGTGGTCCATCATCAAATGTGAGATTTACAAGGAGGGAAAACGGTACACCTCTCTGAACAGTGTCTGGGAGGCTGTGGTTGCTGTTGCACGCAATGTTGATGGTGAACAGATCAAAACACTGACAGAATCCATGGATGGCAGGCTTTTGAGTGTCCTTGCAAAGAAAGGTGGCTACATTGGTCGCTGATTTGTTTTTGTATTGTTTTTGAATGTCAGAAATGTATATTTGGGAATGTGGAGATGTTATATTGGTTTCACTGGTAAAAATAAATAACTGAAATGGGTATATATTTGTTTTTTGTTAAGTTGCCTAATAATTACCGTAAATCCTCTAATACAGGCCTGGGCCTGTATTTGACTCAAGCTCATCAAGCTCCAGGCCTTTATTGGAAGGAGGGCCAGAATTAGAGGCAGGCCTCTATTTCTATTTGAGCAAAATGGACTAATGGTTCGCTGGAGTTTTTGACAATTAAAATTGCGCCCACATTTTCAAAGTTAAACACATTTCTTTTAACAACGGTAGTTTCTGCTTCAGCCCTCTCTCCCCTCCCCCTGCGCAGCGGCCGCAAACTCACTGATGCGCCTGCAGCCTCTCGGAGTTCCTGCTGCTCTAAACATTAAAATAATTATTTCATTTTCTGTTCCTCACTTCTGATTACCTTCAATGGTGTCTGTTTGTTGCAACCAGCAGGTACAAAAACTAACTTGTTTTTATTTGACTATTTTTCTGTCCTGTCTGTTTATTATCTTCCTGCATCTCCTCTCAATCCTAAAGAAAAACTGCTACCTGGGTTCATATATATTCACCTCATGAGTTACCTTTGAACTGCAGTTCTAAAAGATCTACCGACCGCAAAAACAGGGGAGTGCCGCTGCTTGGCGGCCGCATCAGTGATCGGTGCATCACCGGAGGACAAGGTGATGCGTCCCGCTCCACAGCAGCAAAACGCATCAGGCGCAAATAAAAGACAGAAAACATTAAAGGAAATGAGCCGACATGAACGATCGTGTGTCAGTACCGACGCTCTGGCACAGCGCGTTGAAGTCAGAAAGCCAAGATTTGCAAATGATTCCCAACTGTTATGGTCCATGTAAAATAAAAAAATAATACCTCAAAGGACACCTGAAGTTAGAATATGGAACATTTTAATAGAAAGCTATAATTAAATAAAAATACCTCCAGAGATGTGCAGAATGAACGTACGCACTAGAACTCCCAAAGCAGTTATTTTGACTATTTTCATATTTTGATATGTACTAATTTAGTTAGATGGATCTCGTGTTGTCCTTTCTTCCCGGCTTTTCTTATTTTTGTGTTATTTCCATAAAATAATGTATCAAAAAAGAAACATAGCTGTTTACGACTTTGTCACCCACAAGTAGGGCTGGGCGATATGGCAGAAATAGAATATCACGATTTTTCCATTATTTTATCACGATTTCGATTTTATCACGATTTTTTATCCATGAATAGCATAACTTCAATTGCGTATTAAAGAAGAGAAACATTGAATAAATAAACATTTATTCATATTAGGGATAATCAACTCAGCGCTAACACACTTATATTTTAAACTCACACCAGAGATGATGAAAGCCCTGAGAGAAACAATTACAAAAATCAGTTTTTCTCGTTTTTCAAGTGACTTAACATAAATTAAAATCGTAAACATATTTAAAGTGCAAACATGTCAATTGCAAACGTATTGTGCAAACATTAACTTGTTCAAAATACTATCTAGCTCCTAGTTGCTCATGTAGTGGATAGTTAAGCTCAAATATGGCTCTGATGTGCGGCTGGACCAGAGATCGCTTGTGGTAGCAAATACCTGCGCATTCTGAATATTTTCTGCAACTCTCACTTTGCATTCAGCGTACATACGTGGAATGGCGGTGTTCGGAAAATACTTGCGGCTGGAAAACTCGTAGCGCGGATCCAATGTTTTTATCATGTTCTTAAATCCCGCTCCTACTGTTCACACGGGACACAAATCTTTAACCAAGTGGTACGTCACTGCATCTGTCACGCTGTTCCATCGTCTGCTGTCTCTGCCGTAAGGAGTGAGTTTTGTGTGTGTTTCTGTTAGCGTTTGCTGCCAGGAAGAAGCACTAGCCGCTGTCGCTGTAGCCGCAGGCTTTTTAGCTTTAGCTGCCAGCTGGCTCTCATTGTATTGTTTGGGATGCCTTCTTTTCAAGTGATTAAACAAGTTTGTGGTGTTGCCATCACTTGCCTTGACGCTCTCCTTGCAAATGACGTTTCGCTGCTCTTTGTCATCTGGTGAAAAACCAAACCAGTTCCATATAACGGACGAGGCGTTCCTCTTCGGAACGAAAACCTCGTTGTCGCTCTCAGCCGCGGCCGAAGCCATGTTTATTCACACACAGGTGAAAACAAGCGGGGCGCTAATATATTACTATGACTTACTCTGATTGGTTAAGGTCAAACAAAGGCGTGTC